ACTATTCTCGTAACCAGATCCAGATCTCTTCCTTCCATTAACACCAAACATCGGAGAGTTCAAAACTCCGTTCTTCAAGCTCCCGCTCGTACGGAGACGACGGCTTAGAGAAGTGGTGAGACAAGCTGAGCGAGCTGGGCTTAGAGAAGATAAACGCATGGAGGAAGAAGAAGAGAAACGAGATGTGAAACAAATGAATAGATCTGTTGATGAAGAAGAAGTTGCAGCTGCGTTGTTGCTGCTGTTAATACTCGATGAACGGTGGGGTCTCTCAGATTCCGCCATTGTTATTGTCTTTGTGTGTGTGTGTTTTTTTTATTTCACTGTGTGAAGAAGAGTAGAGTAGTAAGTAGCCATCTCCATAGTAATCTTCGTTTCAAGAGTGTAACGGAATCGAGAGACTTTAGGGGTCTGCTTGTGAATTACTAAAATACCCTTCGATCTGATTTAGCGTGGGAAGATTCGCTCTTAAATGAAAACCTCAATAATCGATCGTCTTTTGACTAATCTCTAAAATTAGTTTGTTACTAATTAATTGAAGTGGAAGGGTAGATGAGTAATTTGTGAAATGTGTGGCCCATGAGAGTGAAAATGAGTTAAAAGGGGTTAATCGTACGACTGGTGGAGTGGAGGATACACACATGTGCACACTAAAGGTTTTGGCTTTCCCAAAAACACAAACACTCACAGACACGCATGTCTCTTGTGTATTTGCATGTATTCTTTTTCGTAGTTTTAAGCTTTTTTGGATTTTGGTGAATATACAAATAAATAAAAAATACTACAAACTTTTGTTTTTTTTTTTTAAGATTAGACTTTTTATGGAATTCAAAAGTTTTTTAGATATTTTGTTTCTCGTAACAATATTATTGGATTGGACCCCCAATGGATGGACCAAGTGTATTCGAGATCTATTTTGAAAGGTGTATATATCTATCACATGCATATGGCCGAGGGATCTTGGATAGTAATCATAACAAGTGGATGATTTAGAAATAGTGAATATAAATGGACTTTTAGTGTTACGGATTCTAGCAAAATTGGTGGTATAGAGAAAATAATCATTTTGATTTCCATATCGATTTTTTAGATAGCGTTGAGGATAAGGGGTGGTTAAGAGATAAAAGCAGCTTTAACCAAAAAAAAAAAAATAAAGAGATAAAAGCAGTAGACCGGAATTGTCACATGGTTTTAGGGTAAATACGGTTGAAGACAAAATCATAGAGATAATATTATATTATAAACTAAAGAGAAAAAAAAAACCTTGTTACATAGAAATAGCTTTATAGAACCCAAAGTAAAGCACGTGATCGGACTACCGAGAGATAGGGTAATGATTCGACATGGCCGTTTTTCCTTATTTTAGTTATAAATTTGTAACATTTTTTATATTTGAATTATAGGTTTGAGATTTTTTTCTCATCGTGAAATTATTAGTATCACTTTTTTGCTTATTTTCTTGTGGTTGCATGAAACTAAGGGCACGTCGTGTCGCTTTTTGTAGCACTTAAGGTATTGGACCCACTCGACTCTAACCCGTTTATGTTTGTTCCATTTTGGAGTGCCAAATAATTAGAGACCACTAATATATTACTCTTAAATGAATCCAACTGAGAAGCAAGGAAGGAAATTATCATATACATGAACTCATACAGAAATGTTTTAGTACTATTCGAAAAAGTTTTGTTGCATTGCATTTGATCAAATACATACAAAGCCAATTTTTTTAAAGCGATTTTCGAATTTGCAGCTTGCATGATTCTTAGAAAATTTGTTATTTTTTAAATATAATTACGTGTTTTCACTTTTTACCAGCTAGAAAAGACTCATTATTTCAATTTGAGCTCCCCATGATAAAAAAAAAAAAAACATTGATATAAAAAATTGTATGAACCAAAAAACTTAAAACTTCATGATATTTAAAAAGTAGGAGTTTCCGAGTACAAAAACCATACTAATAAT